TTAAATACTGTAGATTGCATCCCTGAAGCAAGTGAAATTGCTTCTGGGGGAACAGGTAGTGGGAAGAAAGATCAAATTGTTCATGTAAAGCAGAAGAGGTTTTGTGCAAAACGTTGAGTTAGTGAGGTGGCGAAGTGAAGTTCTTAAAATTGGAGGATGCCAAGATAAAGATGGCCTGTGCAATCACCTTTCGCTGTCCTTGTGAGAGACTGTTGTGCAGCTCCACAGAGGAATGTGTGGTGAAGGCATGTGGTGGTGGTTGAACTTTTCTCATGTTTTGTGGATGTTGGAACTAGGGTGTCTTCTGGGGTTCCTGCCTCATTCAATGTATCGTTTCAAGGTAAGGCAGGTAATACTGCTGTAGAGAACTGGGTTCCATCTCTTCTACATTGGGAACAGTCGTCATCACCGTGATTTTTATGATGTTCCCACAAATTGCTGTCATTGCAATTCAGATATGGCTGACTTCTGTTATTCAACATGAGATTCTCAGTCTCCCTTGCAAACGCGTTAAACACTCACAGCTGTAACTGAAGTCAGTGAAAACACAGAAGGCAGAATAGTGCCAAATATTCTGAAAAGTTCACAACCAAAGTGCTTTAAACTGAGTTCCCCAAATCAAGGACACTTGAGAATTTTTTCTCTTTGCTTCAATTCCCTACCTGACGAAAGGGAATAATGCCACATCTCCCCTGGATTGCTATGAAATTATTTTATGTTTGCAAAGTATGTGAATAGCGTAGCAATAAGCAGGGCAGGAAAGCCTGTGAGATTAATATTTCTGCCTTCAAAGTAGTAAATAAACCAGAAACTGCAAGCTATGTGAGAATGGAAAAAAAAACCACACTCCCACAAAACCAGCACAGCTGTTCTGTAATCAAGTCCCTCCTATTCTGTTCAGTACGTCTGATCCTGTGAGGGGAAAAAAGTATGCGATCACATTATGCGCTTTACAAAATTATCATAATGTACATTTAATGGGCAAACAAATAAAAGGTTGCATAAACCCTGTTAATTCTGGACTTTCTTAGCTTTTGAGTTCTTCACTAGGGAAACTTGATTTATCTCGCATAACTGTTATGAACAGATGAGTGCCAGTAGATTATTTGTATGTATAGGTGTGGGTAAACTGGTGGAATGTTAAGAGCAAGAATGAATGGGATTTTGAACTTAGGCTAAAATATCATATATTCAGTCAGTGTGGGATTACTTGTGGTGATTTACGTGCGTTGTGGATTAACAACATGACTGACAGAGTTGTTAAAAGCTAGCTCCAAGCAGAATTGGTCTAGCCAGTTCCACCTGAGATCAAGATGTGTGACAGATATTTGCAATTACTTGGAAGGCTCTGCACTGCGTTCCAAATGTTTCCTGCCTCCCTTTGAGGTGTCCTTACCCTCTGAGACAGTGGAGAAAAGACTGTAAAAGATGTGTTGGTCGGTTCATTTCTTGTCTTCCTACCTTGTTTCAGAACAGTTTTATGTTATTGCCAATATGTAATTGTATCTTGAATTTTCCTTTCGGTGTATATTTTATTAGATTGAGGTGGTAACCACAGCAAAGATCCTAGTGTCAGAGCATGATAACGCTGTATCTGCAGCCACTGTTCCGCTTGGGAAAGCATGTTGCCTTTTACCTCAAAATACAGTCTGAAGAAGACGACTTCATTTGTCTATATGATACCAATTCTATTGAATACTGTTAGGAAACTGCTTCCATCCAGTTTGCTCTCTGCTTTTTTTTTAAATACGTTCCTGAAACTTGGATTCATGTCATTGTCTTCAGTGTCAGCTGAGCACGCAAGCACTGGAGCAGACACTTGCCGGCCAAAAGGGAAAACAGGTTTAGAAATAGCTGTCTCTGCAGTGCTGTCAGCTTTCCTGGCTATACTAATATTTAATTCAATGTGTATTGAGTCCCTACCTTGGGAAAAGAAGAGCAGCTGATGCTGCCTTTGCTTTCTGTCTACCTTCTTTTTTAAAGTGAAGAATAATGTACTAGAACTTTCTAAGTTTTTTTTTCCCAGTTGATACTGCAGTGTTTAGTTGCTTTTGTGAGAAGAACTCTTAGTTTTATGTGGGTAAGTTCCTGAAATATTTGAGCAGAAAAGACTTTGCATTTCTATTTACTGTCTGAATAAAAATTTGGTAGAAGTTCCTCTGTGTCTGTAGCATGTGGAGGATGGGGGAAATAGATGCCAAAACACTGCTACGCAATTGACTCTGGAAGGTTTCCAGGATTCTGTAGAAATTGCTGCTTACATGAAATTTTACGTGGATGCAGACAATCAGTTTTTGAAGGAGAACTACTGATGCAGAAGGTTATACCAGGCTACCAATCGTCCTGGTCCTTGGGATAAGAAGAGGAGACGAATTACGCATAACACAAACACGATCATAGTTGATGTTCTTGTAGGGAGGGAATGCATCCAAATAATAACTGAAACATAAGTTGAAGAAAATGGGCTTATCTTCACAATTCATTACAAGTATGTTAGAAATAAAAAACAACTTACTGCTGTTTGTAGTGATGCGACTGAATAGGGTGTTCTTAGAAGTTTTTGGTTACTAGAAAGGTGCAGCTAGTGGGCAACTGGGGTTCTGGGACTTCAGGGATGGGACCTTCAGAAGTAACATTGGGTTTGTCTTCCTCTGGTCTGATTTCTGTTGGCTGACTAGTTTCAAACCATAGAAATTGGCAGAGGTGAAGGAGGCAGTGAGTTTCCCACCTACTGAGTTATCTGTCACCCACAAATGCTGGAAGGCTGAACTACAGGGAAATGATCATCCTTCTCCTTTAGCCAGCCCATGTGGCAGAGCGTGCCATGCTTGAGGGCTGTGATGGGTGCATCTGAGGTGCTGTGATGGGGATGGGACAGCACCACCCTGTTCACCCTACTGGACTTTCTAAAGGGAAACATAAGGCTTTTCTTTAAACTTCTCCCAAGCACTGCAGGTGCTATCACTATTCAAAGATTTATATTGATGTTAAAGAAGTGAATATGCTTTTACACGAGGCTGTCATTTCTGTGCAATAAGAAATAACCCATTAAAACAGGGGGAATCCCCCAAACTTATTTGACACCAGCCACGGACTAACACTACCTGCAGTAATAGTGTTTCAGCTGATATTTTGCCAGAGGCAAACTCTTGTGCCAGGATTAGTACTCAAAACCTGACAGTTTTTCCAAACGACAAGGTGAGCAGATGACTTTGTTCAAGTATGTTTCTTTGGTGTTGATACAGTAAAACAAGGCAAAACTGGGTAATGTGGTGATGCATATTGAAGGATGACTGGTCCATTTTTGGCATGGCTTATTGATACAGTCCCAGAAAACTAGCTGGGAGAATAGAAAAAGAATGCATACCTGAAGTGGCTTAAGATTTCACAGAAACTGGAAATAAATCTTTAAGCTAAATGTAGACTTTATGCAAAATGCACTTCACTGACAAAGTTTATTCACTGGCAGAGGTTTATTTTTTCATTTTCTTTGTAAATGAATTCAATAATGTGTTAACTATAAATTGAGTAGCTGTAGCTTGTGTTTTGGACGAAGCTCTGCTGTGTTGTATTTAATGCGGTTGGCCTGTTTGAGCGTGCCCCCTGCCCTTGTGATACTCACCCCGTTAATTTTGGGGTCCAGGCAATCTCCTGCCATCAGGGCACTCACTCTCTTGAAGCTGTGTAAGAATTCCTGAAAAAAGGTGTGCTAGTGCACAACCTAATCAACCAGTACATCTTACATCATTGCATTGTTGATTCTACATGTGTAGTGTGTTTTCATGGTTTACGACTTCAGAAGAGAAGATTATACAGAACAGTTGTGGCTAGTGCTAATTTTGTGTCTAAAAGATGGGAACTTTCCTATCTATCTGTATGAAGGTTCTGCAAAAGAGCACTAGCGAATGGCTCCTGGACTCAGAAATACTGCACAGAGAAACTGTTCTGGTATGTCGAAGATGGCTTTTGTCCAAAACTCTCACCGTGAAAACTGCCTGTACTTAGTTGGGCTGTTCTGTATGTGAGGCAGGTATTGCCAAGTAGTTTTTCAAGGAATGCTGGATGATTTTTACCAGATGTGTTCAGAAACCAGATATGAAAGGCAAAGTCAGTCTCTGAGTTTTTGGTGGTTAATCTAGTGCATGTTTTTGCTTTGTTTATTCTTAACGTAATTCCAGAAGCTGAGTTGTACAAGCAAATTGGAGAAGCAGCATGCACTTCACTGCAAGCATGCTGCTGACTGATAGAAAAGTGAAGAAATGCAAGAGAAAAATGCAGAGAAAATAGTGTTTCCATGGTAAAAGCAGTAAATACTTATTAATTAAAAAATAACATTAATCTATATATTGCAAGCCTGCTTATTTTCTGAAGATATTTTAAGGGATATTTACAGGTAATATGGGCAATTATGAAGTGAAAACTGAAAAGTTTTGAGTCTTCAGTGAAGCTGTTTTCTAAAATATCTGTAATTAATAGCTGTACACATGCGTAATATGAACTTCTTTTTGAGCTGGGAAGTGTCGTTCAGTACTCTGATACGCAATGCCTTTCAGATTTATTTTCTAAACCATTAAGCCATCTTAATCTAGAATCACCATAAAATTAGGTTGAAAAGGCAATGTTTTAATGTGAATCAGGAGGGTAGCATTTGAGGGTCTTGCTTTAGGTTCTTCCTCTTCTCTCCAGATACTATCTTTATAGTGTTGATGGGGATATTGTTCTTCTAAGGTATAAAATGAGACTGAAATTCAAGTAATTGATTTACCATATATAGAATGTTAGGAAAAAAGCCATTAATTTATGTTTAGTGAATATTCATATCAGTCAAGTTACCAAGTTTGTTAAATAAAATGGAGTGTAAAGGTACAAGTGTGTGTATGCCCAGGTGCGTCTGAAAAATCTTATATTCCATTTGTTCTGCCCAATCCTAAGTAGAAGGATATTTATTGCTGCAGTCATACAGATATTAATACACTTTTTTCCATCTGACTTTCTTTTAGCACACTGATTTATGTCAGTACATGGACAAACACCCTGGAGGGCTTCATCCAGAAAATGTGAAGGTAAGAGTCAAAAAGAACACACATTCAAGGCAAACACAGTAACAATGACTTTGTGTACAATGTCACGTCAGTTCTTTTCATAGAACCTGATCAGCTAAAGGGAAAATGATTGGCATACGAACTATATTCTAAAATATTTTTTCTTTAAAACTAATTAAAAATGCAAGTATTTGAAAATTTCCACAAAAGAACTTGTGAAGTCTGTAAAATTGACTCAGAGCCAGGATATATGAGTAAATACTGTTACAGTGTTGGTAACCCCTCCCCTCCATTCAAACGTTTGCTCTTAAGACAATACTGCCCTAAAACCCCTGAGTAAACTTGCTTTAGACTGTCAGTACTAGGTCTTCAGTGAGGTAAGTCAATGTAGGTTCACGGAGTTTGAGGGAACTGTAATGAATTGTATTGGCTGAATGTACTGCTTTTTATATGAGCATATAAAATCTTCCATAATTTTTTTGCTCACTTATTTTCATGAAGCATTTCATAGCTGATCTCACTTTTAAAAATTTTTCATTTGTCAAGTAGATACTGAGAATCATCATGCAGAAGGAGGGAGTTTATTAGAAGGATTTAATGGAAAGATAGATTGGTAGAGACTTGATCCAGTTACTTTCTGGGAAGTCAGCCAAATGATTTTAGCATCAAAAGGAAGCCAATCAGACATGCAGAGTGTGTCGTGTGTGTATAGATCACCCAGACTATATTTGTTACACTTGTCTTGCACTTTGACATCAGTCCCATTGTTGTTCTGCTTTGGAAGTGTTTAAATCTTCACTCAACATGCTGAGAGCTTTATTCCAGTATTTAGTTTCTTGAAATTGAGAAGTTCATGGAAAAAAAAAAAATCTCTTTCCTGGAGAACTCAGAAGGCCTGTTTGGTTTAAGAAAAGAAAATATTTTTAAAAGAGGAAAGAATTCTTTTTTTTTTTTTTTGCAGTAGCTGATTGTTGATGTACCTCAACTAGTTTTATAATGTGGATTAATTAATTTTCTGTGTTCTTTCACTGAAAAGTGGCATCTACAACATATAAAGTTAGATGAAACACCTACCATCTAAAATTCCTTGCTGCATATATTTGGCCAAACTAAAAAAAAAACCAAAAACTCTTTTTTGAAAATGTATGATGTGTACGCTGTGAGCTAGCGATAGAATCCTTGTAACGTGCGACTGTCACTCAGACGTTTTGGGAAAGCCCATGGGTCTCCTCCCAGTGCCAACTTCACAGTGCCTCTGTGAGTGCGGCACTTTGAAATGGCTGAAGCTGGGTGAGGTGGTACCTGCTTTTTGACCACTACAACTTTTGAGCTTTCTTCACTGCCCAGGTTCCTAAGCAGAGTTTCATGTGCTGATTGTGCTTGTTAAAACAATGGATTTGTGGTTCGTTATCCTATGTGGATAGTTTTACATTCGGCTCTCTGAGGTTTGCAATAAGCTAGGGCTGGCTTTGAAAGTTATTTGTGATGCTTCAGCTTTGTAAGACTACTCCAAAGCTGCAGTGCTGTATAGCTCAAGATCTAATACACAGTCGTCATTGTAGCTGTAATTGTTCCCTGCTAAGAAGACATCATAATTCACATAACCGTACTTTTTCTTGATCGTATCAGGGCCCAGTGGGCTTGTCTTTGTGGAGGATGGGCATACACGGATAATTGGGCTTGCTAATGCATCACTCCTCTAAACCCTGAGATACCTGCCTTTTAAAACAGGAGCTGCAGAGGGAACTGCAGCAGCAGCATTTCCCTTTCAAATTTTGCTGTGTGTATTCCTGTGACTGTCTTTACCATCCAACATCAGTGTTCAGCCACACTTCTGAAGCTTATGGGCACATTAGAAATATTTCTTTGAGTAGCCAAGTGTAGAGTCCTGATGTACTCCTGAAGTTCAAGCTTTATAAAGTCCAGATGGATTATTAATAAAAAGGAAACTGGAAAAAAAGAAAAAACATTGGGAAGTTGGAGCAGATGAAACTACTTTTCTACCATGAGAAGTCCTATTGGACAATTAAAATTCTTTTTTTTTTATGAACATTGATTATATGTATTTAGTAGACTCTCTTGCCAGGCCAGCAGCAAAGGCTAACCTTCTTTCATAGCAGTAATTATTAAAACCCAGCATAATGATTTGAGCTCCTACCATTTCAAAACTGGATCAGCCTGCTGGGGTTTTCAGCTAAATACCTGCTCTCAAAGCTAAGAGTGAAAAATACCAACAAAGTGATTTCTTCAGCTTGGAGGACAGGAGTTGCAGAGAGAAGGGAACCCAGTCATATATGCCAACGACTCCCAGACCTTCACCAGCATGCAAAACTGAAAGCTTGCACTTCTCTCTTCTCACAGAGGAGATAAAGTGGTTACTGCAGAATATCTTAATGCTTTGTTATGCTGTACTTAGTTTGTCATCTTATGTAATTGAGGTTCTGAGACTTTGCCACTTATTTTGGTTTTAGCTTCTGGACTGTTGTCTATCTGGAGCTACAGCTGATTTTTAAGGGTTGAACTGAGCCATGTTAATTAGCCTTCTCTCCCTGCCAGTCCCTTCTTGCTAGAGGTTCTTCAGGAATTTCACTTTTAGTCAGACTTTTAGACAGTGTTTGTTCAGAATCACTGGTTATATGATCCTCAAATCTATTCTAAAACACTTTCCAGTTGAGCAATTACATTCCAGTAGCAATAAATCAGTCTCAGCACTCTGGGGCTAACCTGTGGGATTAAGCCATCGATGTTCTCCCAGTATTACAAAAGGCCCCCTGCCTTTTAATTTTGTTCTTGAGGAAAGTGTTGCCTACTGATGGATATTCCTTTATGGCTTGTTGCCAGTTATTATAAATACAAAACCACATAATCGCACATCTTTCTTTATCCAAAGAATATTACACAGTAGTTCCTGTAAAACACTACTTTGTAGGAATATGGAAGCAAAGCTGTTATTTACTTATGTTTTGGCTTCTATAGGACATCTTCAGCCTAATTAAATTTCTGAATTTTCTCCATATTTACAAGCGAAAGACAATGCTTGTTCCCTCAGGCTTATTTTAGATGAAGAATCGTAAATAGAATAAAATCCAAATTACTCTGATGGACACACGTATTGCTGTCCCCTTGGGCGTTGTGTTTGACATTGTCTTTCTTTGTGTTTTCAAATAGGATATTTGCTGTCACTTAAATATTTTAAATAAAGAGTAAGCAGAATATTATAAGCATGTGGAAGTATAAAGAAGAATGTCTCAACTGGCAGTTGTAGGTGTCTTAGGACAGTATGTTTAGGACGCAATTTTGTTTTGCTTGCTTAAAGTTTAGCATTTTTAGTGATACATATGTATTCACACATAATGATTTTAGAATTTTTTAGTTCATGTATGGACTTACAAGTCTTACAAATAACATCAGGTTTTAAACCCTTCAAAGAATTTTTGTGTGAGGCTGAGATGTTATTATCTAAAGTTGGTTTTAAAATACCTATCCTTGAAAATGTTAAAGCAAGTATCCTGGTGACATCAATGTGGTTAGGTACCTGCAACGTCTTTATCAGCTAGAAGGGAAAATCCATAGATTCTCTAGACTCTGTTAGCTTCAAATACACAACTGTATACATCTTCGGTAACTAACAAGCCTGTGTATGTACCATTTATTCATAACTATATATTAATATACTGCGTATGCTATTATAGTTACAGATGAGGAGAGAAAGGTAGCTGGTTAATAAGTCCCTGTTTAGTAGGCACAGCCTCATCTTCTCTGGTTTTGAAGATGTCTTTCTCAGTTTTTCTGAAACTGAAGTTAAGCAACAAATCTTAAGTACATGGCCCCACATACAATTATGTTTCTGTTGGAAGCTACTGCTGCAGCCTTGTGCACTGATGGAGCTAAGAGCTGATTTATAGGTGTACACCGTGTGGCGCTTGCCAAGCTCCAAAATGTGGCTATGGCAAACTGAGGTCCAGGACTTACTCTGGGCTCTCCCTGTGCTGTTTCTCCTGGCCTGCAGTTTCTCCTCCTACTGAAGTCTGTACTCCTGGCTTCCTTTCCTACGGCCATTGCTGCCTTTAAAGGTAGTTCATACTTCTTGGACTCTCAGTTGAAACATCTGGATTGCTTCCTACAGCAGGAACTCTAATGGTTACAGCAGCTAACAGACCCTGCCAGTGGTTTTTTTTATGATGATCTTCATTCTGATTTGTGTTTGTTTCTGTCTGGTACAAGGCCTTCTCCACCAGACTTTTGACTTATCTTCTTGATTCTCCTGAGCATTTGTTTGCAGCTGTCCATAAATGGTTCTTGTTTTGTAAATTAATTATTTACTTTTTAAGTATCTTTTTTTTGTGCCTTTCAGCATGTCCTGTGAAAACGTAACTGTTCTTAACTTCTTTTAACCTTTGAAATATCATCTTTATTTTAACTGCATCTTTTTCTCCATATTATTGCATTCCCAGTAAATTATTGCATTGCAAGTAAATTCATCTTTATGTTTTCATGCATTAATTTATAGTTGAATCCGTTTTCTGTAACTCCTATAACCGCTGGAACCAATGGAGCACAAGGCTTGCATCTGTCGTGCCTGCATCACTTGTTTGCATTCCTATATTAATGAAAGCTGATTTGCTTTTTAATTAGTGAAGCTGCATTGAAATAGCTGTAGTCTTTTGGGAAAAGCATCCTCATTTTTTTCTCTCTGCCTTTTTTCCTGTACTTGCAGTGTTAGAGGTAACGCTGATTTGTGTGAGCATTTGACATTAAAAAACCCATCTTTGGCAAAATAAAAAGTTATCTCTGACCCACTGTTCCTCAATCTGTGCAACACTAGCCTGAATGACAAGAGGGTTGTCAACCAGACGAAAATTGTCTCTGTCTCTTAATCACTCTTGAAATCTTTTGCTTCAGGCAACTTGGAAGACTCCTATCATCTACTGTGACTAGAGGGAGAAGGAACTTCCAGTTTGTTCTCTTTCTATCTAGTATTGCTGCTCTGATTTGTTGTTCTCCCTGGGCACCTTTTCTCT